ATGTACTAAAAACAAGAGTTCCACGATCTCATACCTTCGCCAAATGATGTTAACCCTTGTGGTTGACAAATTATACAATTTTAATCATTGATTTTGTAAATAAGAGCCCCATTTGCATGGATTATATCAGTTGATCATATTCTCCACCCAATGACAGCCTTATGTCTAGCATGTCCAGATCACGAGATATCAAAACCGGAAGTTCTGCTGCTGTACCTAGGAAAGCCGCCAGGGGGCCCAAAATCTAATCATTTCTAGGTCTCATGAAGACCTACCCACCTACCAAGTTTCATTCCAATCCATTCACTGCTTCTCTAGTTATCTTGCTAAACCACACACACACACACACACAGACACGCACACATACACACAGACAAACGCTACTGAAAACATAACCTTCTTGGCGAAGGTAATGACATGACACTGCAGTCATAGCTATAATCTATACTAGTGAAATCAAGTATTTGTTCTGTAAACCTTGTCCAAGGACATATCTTTAGCTCCTACTGCTTATATCAATATTAACAAAAGTATTACCCACCCAGTTTCAAAACCTGTTCTTTCTCACGAATGTTTGCATTATTGATATCATCAAACAATGAACACAGTCACTATTTAAAGAAAACATTGTCCATAGGTATTTCTCAATAGGGTTATGGATTTAGATTTTGTGTGCTTATTGATAGGAATGTGTTGTTTAATGTCTTTAGATAGCACAGCCGATTTAACCCCGCACATCTGACTAAAGTCAACATTATTACATCAGATACGTTAACGTCAATATGTCCAATATATAAATTGCGTTCTATAGACTGTGATGTTAACATATTATATATATGGTGGAATTTCTTAGCACATTTCTGTCATCATTTCATATTTGAAGCAATTGAAACAGCAACAAACAGGACGTGAGGCGTCTGCTTATTTTTGGGTACCACCTATAAATAAGTAGAACCAGCCTGCGATACAAAAGTAACCGTTTTCCGTTAGCGACATCAAATTTTGTCTCACGCGTATATCAATATTAGTTAGGCTTGATTTAACTTACTACAAGATTTGCCAGAAAATTGCAAAAATCCAGTTTTGCCTACTCTCAAGCAGATCAAGGTTTGGGTTTTGAGTTATTTGGCGTGGTTTAGGCTTTTTCATTGGGGTTTCTTTTTTGCACTGGATTTTTTGTTGGATTGGGTGAAAAAAATTCCAGTGCAAAAAAGAAACCCCGATAAAAAAGCCTAAAACACGCCAAAATAACCCAAAACCCAAACCTCTGCTTGGAGAGTAAGTTTTGCCGCCAAGAATTGTATTTTTGAAGCTCTCTCTGCACAACACTGCGACTGCACATATATAAATCATAATTCAAAAACCATAATCTATATGTAAGAAGCAGGTTATATTTAGGTACCTGCAGGTATGTGTGACGCGCGTGCCTACGGTAAATCCCACCTGCGGATCTCCTGCCGTGAATTATTGATAATCCGGCTGATCCAGAGGGACTAATCTCAGGGGATTAAGCGGACAGCAGAAGAGGAGCGTTAATTGATCAGGCCGTTTGCCCTTACCAGTCAAGCGTGGCGTGACCTTGGCAAGCTTCATGTAGCCTTCACCAGGCCTTTCTACGGGAATACGGATCGTAGAATTCGGCAAAAAGAGAGTCAAATTGGCCAGGGGAGTCCGGTCGCGGGGAGGTAGTTTCTTTTTGAGCGGCCAGTCAAACCTACAAGGCGGCCAAACTCCCCTGGCAAATATTCTCCTGTATACTAGTATAGCCAGCGTAGTTAGTCTGGTAGAGCTTCATGCCCGTAGCCAGGGTTTTGAATGGGGGGTTCTTCCCACTGTCTGAGGGACCATGCTCCCCTGGAAAATTTTGCCCCTTCTGAAATGGCATTTGTTGCGTTTTTGAGAGGATTTCAAATGAAAAATTAATCGGACATAACCTTTGTATTCAATGACAAATTGATGCAGTTTTTGTATACGATTCCAGCCCCGCTGCTGATACATATCAGTCCATCTTTTGAAGAAAAATCTTGGACCTGTAGATAAGAAGTGGACCTTTGAGCCTTATGTATGGGGGGCGGGTCTTCCGAACCCTGGCTTCGGGCATGAGCTTGGTAATATTTGGTTGGGAAGGGGTTGGAGGTTGGAGGGGGGGG